CTGGTGAAAATTTCATGTCATTAGCACCTCTAGTAATATATTTACTGAGAAAAATGTTGACGTGTTCAATACTTATTTTACCCGCTGTAAGTAACGACTCTTTGGCTCGAATATCCAAACTCATTCCGTCACCCTGGATGGATTTGATGTTTGTGTCTCTTCTTTTCCAGAAAGCGCCGAGAACAGGACTGAACACTTCGCTGCTGCTGCAGAAAAGACATCTCGGGCTGCTACCGGAGAACTCCTACAGCAGGTAGCGGATTAAAGCGCCGCAAAACGAACCAAGTCCCGTCGTCATCACACGAACACGTCTGCTGGTTTCCAGGCTCATTCACGAGGTGAAGGTCAGCGGGATGAGGCGCCACAAGCTGGAGATCCGGATCACAGACAACAGCAACCCGAACGCCCACAACTTCCGCCTCATAGTGGTGAGAACACACACAGGGGTCGATTGCGCACCTCTCGTCTCCACAAAGAAACCCATCTGATCCTCGCACCTCAGGGGGACTCGGCGTGCGAGCGAGTGTTCACGGTCAACGACGTGTCTCACGGCGGCTGCCAGTACGGCATCATGAACTTCAGCAGCAGCAGCCRGGGCTCTCTGTCGGTGGAAATGTGCGATAACCTGTACTTCACCAACCGCAAGGTGGGACGACTTCACCGCAGTTTAGACTCCTGTGTTCTGTTGTGCTTTTCCTATCCGGTGCACTTCTATGAAAACACAAGTTTAGTCAAACCTTTGAGCGTTTTTGTTTAATAAATGTGTTTCAGGTGAATTCCATCTGCTGGGCCTCYGTCAACTACCCCGACTCTCACATTCTGTATCCTTCCTGAGCAGCTCTTTATTTAGATTAGATTAAATATGTACCGTTTTTCTTCACGGCACAAATTTTTAAATGCATCTCTGTGTTCGTTGAGCATGCTCTGTATTTCCCCTTCACCGTACGGATCATTAGGCTGTGTCTGGTGGGAGCGGCCGACACCCCCGGCTGCGTCAGTTTACTCCCCGCTTCGCTTTTCAGTAACTCCAACCAAGGTTCGTCACGTTTAATCAAGAACCACTGGATTTT